GGGCGCTTCAGGGGCACCGCCGGGCCCCCAGCAGCCTCTGGGACAGCCTGGAGTCCGCCGGCGCCCCGCACGACAGCCTCCAGTCGGTCTCCAGCCTGCAGGAGAGCTTCAGGTCCTCCAGCAGCAGGTGTGATAGTCTTGAATCCCTTTCCAGCCTGTGTAGCAGCTCCTCCAGCCAGCGTAACAGCCTCGAGGTCACCAGCCGGTGAGGCGGCCCTCAGCTTTCCCCTCCGATGCACGAGCCTCCGGTTCGCTGCCAGCTGCTGCGAGAGCTTCCAGGTTTCTGCCCTTCACTGCGGAAGGCTTCGTTGCTCCAGTGAATTCCTGCAGCAACCAGCAGAACAACCCCAAATACCCTCCTGCTCTGGCTGTCGTTCCCAAGTTACGTGCTTCAGAGAGGCAGTACTCAGTATCGGCAGCGTCAACCTCAGCTCTTTGTCATCGGTTAAGAATGGAGGTACGTGGTCCTCGGAGGAGTCCCAGCTACCTCTCCAATCTCTATCAGAACATGTTACAGGCTGAGGCAGAGCCGGGACGAGGGCAGCAGCGGCCCCAGGCAGTTCACACAAGTAGCAGCGTGAGTCTTCTGAGCAGTATCCCGGCCAAGGGGGGCTCGCAACCAAATCGGCCTCAGAGTAGCACTGCCACCAGCTGCGATCCAGCTTTACGGCCTATCATACGCCGCCGAGCGAGGTCTTTGCCTACATCACCTGAAAGAAGAAAGCGAGCAGGAGTGCAGTGCCGAGTTCCAGGATGCGAGGGTCGTACGAACAGGGTGAGATTTGCTGATGCTTTGGGCTTGGAGCTGACTGAAGTGAAAGTCTTCCAGACTGGAGAGGATCCGTCAATCCCCTTGCATGTCCTTTCCAGGCTCTCCATAAACTCAGACCTCTGGGGCAGTAGCTTGGACCTGGAGTTCACCATGCAGTGCTTGGTCCCTGACTTCCAGCAGCCTGCAGACTGTATGGATTTCTCTGCCCGACTTCAGGAGCAGCAGGTGTGTCTTGAACGAGTGACCAATTCAGATTTGGGGCTCAGTGGCACCATCCAAGTTTGTAATATTGCTTTTGAGAAGCAGGTATCTGTGCGATACACCTTCAACCAGTGGAAAAGCCTCCATGAAGTGTGTGCTCATTGGCATAGCAGCATCCCTGAGAAAAACGGGCAAGCTCAGGTTGATGTTTTCACTTTTTTTCTCCCTGTACCTCCTTTCCTCCTTCATCTGTGCTCTGTAGTCCAATTTGCAGCAAGATACAGAGTCAATGGGCAGGAATATTGGGATAACAACAGAGGCAACAACTACAGTTTTACCTGCCGGAATTACCCCCTTAAGATGCCTAGAGAATGTGAGGAGAGCTGGATCCACTTCATCTAAGCAAAAGAAATTGGATGTAGAGCAGCTTTTGAATAGCCTTATTCTCTTCCCTGGCATTGCTCTGTGCTCCTAGGGCAATACAAACCCTCTTTTTGAAACCTGCCAAACCTGGCAAAGTGTTTCAGAACAGGAAAGTAGCCAGTGATGTGTACAAACTGTTCTAAACCTCTCAGAAAGTATAAAGGGCCAAAATGTGTATCGCGTTACATCCGTTGAAAGCCCGCGTGATTTCTTGTGGTGTGTGAATCGGTGCAGAATGGTTCAAAGGGATGCTGTCAGACTAAATATCTGAAAGCGAAGAAAGGCACTTTTGTTGCTAATGGTATTCTGGACTGCATAAAATATTTATAACGAGTCTGTTTTACCATGTCTGGTTTTTTTTAAATGGACAGTGTGGCTTTACTGTTTTTATTTCTATTTTTGTTTATGTTATCTCACCAAGTCTGGGCACTATTCCAGCTTAGCAAAATTTGGATGGCAAGCACAGTAGGGAAGTATGTATTTTTACATAAGTATATTTGTTAACGTTTTAGCCACGTTAAGTGTTTCTATTAATATTTAGTTTGCAAAAGAAATTTAATTATGAGCTAAAACAACATGAAAATGTGCCAGCTGCTCCTCTGTTTCCCTTTAAAAAAAAAAAAAAAGTTTCTTAACTGTGTGCCTTTTCTCATCTGCAATGTTTGCTATAGGGAGCAGGCGTGATTTAAGTGTAAATTAGGCTGACCATGGGGGAGTTCTCATCTTTTGGGGTGATGTACAAGTAGGTTTTTTTCTCCAGGGAAATGGAATTGGCCTTTCCTTGTGGAGCTATTTTTATTAAGGGAAACTAGAGCAATTTTGCACTTTTGTTGTGATCACACTTGAAGATCTCAAAGCACTACATAAAAGCTACTGATCTTACACCCATACTAGAAACGGATAAATTTAAAACTCAAGGCATGGGTATGAAAGACAAACTATAAAGGCAGTGCAGTGAGCTGGTCGCGGAGCCTTGGAATAGAACGCTAGAAGCCTGAATCCCCGCTCCCTTTTCCCTAGTGTCCCAGTACTATTGCAGTAGCACTTTTGAGTTCTCTAATCACCTACTACTGATTATAAACTAGTTCAAGACTGAACACAAAATGGGAAAATGATGATTTTACTGGTAAATTGGTTTTTACATGGATCCACAAACAGAATTCCTTTTGCAGCAGTGAGAGCAGAGTAACACAGAAGAGTCTGCCCAATACATAGCTTACTGCTGTGCTGCTTTCCTTCTGAGGATTTAGTCTGGTGTGAGATTGGTAACAGGCTTAAATCTAGTAAATAAATGATTGTCCTTGAATGTTTTAATGCATATTCTTCACTGCATGCAGAGTGAAGTACTTTAGCTTTATAAGTATAGTGTAAGTTTTCAAAACTGGTTGGCTGGATATATTAGAAGAGCTGCTTTTCAGAAGGAATATACTATGAAAATCATGCTGCATATTCAGATGTCTTATTTTGGATTGCTGCTTATTCATCAAAATCACAAATTATTTTTAAAATCAAGATTGTAGGCAGCACACAGCCAAGTATGTATTAGTCAAAAAAGTCCATTGGGTCATTCTGGAATTGCAGAAACTCCAAGAAGCATCCTATGTTTGGCAGCTTAATGTGATTACTTAGGTGCGATACCCCTTTAACAAGGCCAGGATTTCAAGTGAACTAGTTGCCCAGCTCCGTTAGTCTGTGGCTTTTAGGGCCTGAAGTCATGAGTGGCGATTCTATGCGCTGCTGAGCACCTCCTCAAAGTACTGAGGAAACTCAATCTGGTTTGAAACAATTGAGAATTGACTTGTTCGTCATGTGGCAGGATAGAACTAACCCTCTGCCAATTAGTTTGGACTTCTGTATTTGGCATTTCGTTCTTTATATTTTGAATTGCAACATGTTTATAGTTTGTTTCATACCTGCTGACCAATGTAGACAGCTCTGAAATTGATTTAAAAACAAAATTATTGAATTAGAAATTCTTTCCATGCATTACAGTAGTTAGCCCGCCTTCTAGGGTAATTAAATGTGCTCTTTGCTTGGATGTTGTCTCAGTAGGTGAGAGATTTATTCCAAAAAAATCTTTTGATAAAACGTGCAATTCATATATTTTTCATACTCTAATTCAAATGGTCATTTCTGTTAGCAGTCGCTGTTACTGAAGTGGCTGTTTATATGCCTTTTTGATTTCTAAACTAAGTGAAGCATCCAAAAATCACAGAGCTGATATTATAAAAGTTACATAGTTATTCAGTATAGCAGCAGAAATGCAAGATGTATTTTGAATGTCTTATTTCAGCCGTACTGGGCGTTTGTCAGTACTTGAATTCAGTTTGAGTTGCAAGTACTTTCTGCCTCTGAAGGTCAGGTTCTGATTATTGCTCTTGTTTTAAGCCTCTGTACCTTCAGTAACAATAGGTTTTTATTGCTTGTCTATGTAGTGTTCAGTTACCTGTGTGTCAGTGGCTATCTACTACTAGGGAATGGTAAAAATCATTTCTTTTTTAGTACAGAAGAATTTTCATTGTCCATTTAAAAGACAATGAATGCCGCTAATACTACAGTTTTGTATTGGAGCACTCTGAGGTTGTAAGTTGAGGCAGAAATTGTTTTCAAGGAGTGACACAACTACTGTATCAGGATATTTCATAACCAGGAGGTCTAAGGCAGGTAGAGCGCTCTGAGGTTGGGATGAGGTGTGATTGCCTGCTACACAGATTGAAGGGCTGCTGTAGGCTTGCAATCCACCTGCTTTATTTTCTGCATCTGAATCAGAGGAGCGACCAGTGCCAATCTGGGAGCAACACTTGTGTCCTGGAAGAATAAATACAGGGAATTGAGAAGTCTGGTCTTCCTCATATGGCAGAAGAAAATAAGCAGCTCTGTAAGATGGGGCACTATCAAATTGTAAGGTTTGTTGCCTCCTATGGCAGGCTTCATAGGACTAAATAACATATGAACATATATGACATATACATCTAAACTCTTCATCCTAGACTATTGTCAATGAAGATGTAGTCAATATAGTCAGTAGACAAACTGTTGTCTGCACTGAATGCGGAGAGAACATTGGGAGACTAGTTCAGACGTAATATATTTCTCAGCATTAATGCAAACCATGCCAAATTATGTCAAGCGGTGTCTGTAGACATAAAGTCAGGTGAGATGAATCGCACCTTCAGTGACTGTGGAAGATTCTTGGTATAAACTGAATTGTGTTCCATTACTTTTGTGAAACTTGCTCACTTAAGTAATTTAAATAGAGTTTACCCAGTATTGGTAAAGTCTATAGAAGTGGAGTCTTATATTTTTGTCAGAAGAGAAGACAGTGAACACACATAGAAGTGCTTGGGCTGAATAAAAGGCCCTATTTTAAAGTGTGTTTCCCCTGTCCTTTCCCAGTCACCATAGTACTTCTGTCTGCCAGAGTACTGAATTGCCTCCCAGCACGCTATTAAAAATCTCCTCTGAGACTGGTTTTGAACACCAAATTACCATGGATGTTGCTGGAACCCGTCTTCTGGGAGATAATCATCCACTTGCTAGCAAACATCAAAATCTCAATGTTATTGCAGACAGAGCCAGATTATGTAAAGCTGAGACTATCAATTTAAAGGTTAATGTCATGTATATCACAGTGTCAGAGGGCAGAACTGAATGGCTCAGCAACATGAGTTTGGCTTGTATTGTCTTCCTTCTGCAGCCTCTCAGAGTTATTTGCGCATGCAAAATCTTGAGTGTTAAAGTGTTATTCCAAGATGCCTTTTATCTCTTTGCTTATCTTGCACTGCTGGAGAAGAATTGAAAGTAGCTGTTACTAAATCAGTTGTTTGGCGTTGCTGACTCTGAGTTAAGCAGGCCTAACTTACAGTAGAACTGAGAGCAATCTCAATGAATTCAGTACATGAAAAAAGCTTTTCTTTTAAGGTGCTCCTAAGTTGTTGACATTCATGCATTAGAACTGACTCATGTCACATGAAAGATGAAATTTACACTCCTTTTTCCCCTCACACTCAATAGTGAAAATCAAAATGATTCTAGCTGACAAAAAAGTTATTAAGCCATTAAGTAGTGGTAACAGGAACCTATCATGATGGTAAACTTATGACCACCTTTATAAATTCTCAGGGCAACTTGACTTTTTGCACTGTGTTCACACTGAGCACTTCCCTTATAACCAGGATTTTGTAACCTCACAGAGGTTACTGTCACATAATGCACTTAAAAAAAAAAAAAAAAACTATTTATTATAGTCATACAATAAATGAATGTGTTGTAGTCCACAATTTCAGGGCTCTTTCAAGCATGTTTTTTTAAACCAACACATGGAATCTGTGTAAATGAGAAGGGGTTGTCTTTCCTCATTAAATGTCTTGTCCAGAATAAAATATATTACGTAATATGTCAGTAGAGCACATATACTAGGCAAAAGGTCGTTTTGTTTTAGTGGGCAGTTGTAAAATTGTGAAGTGCTTAATTAATTCAAAAACAATAATAAAATTATTGCTATTTTAATACAAGAGATTGTCATATAAGTGTTCCACTGTTTTCTGTTGTCTTTGCTTAGTGGTACTCCTGTTACACAGTACTGGTCATCAGGCAACTCAGCACTGAGTTATCGTTTACTGATTAACATAGGTTAGAAAATATGGTGGGTGGGTTCAATAATTGCTAAAAAATGACCAGCACTTGAAAAAATTACAGTGATTAGTCTGTATAACCACAAAAATGACCATGCTGCTGCTGCTTATATGGAATTTGCTGTCATGTCACTTAGGAGTTCTGTGCACATAGCAGCGATAGGATTAAAATCTGATGATGGAAAAAGGCAGTCTGTCAGTTGATTATCAGCAGGGTTGCCACGCTTCCCTGTTTTGCAGCAGGGTAGTAACGCTTCCCAAAACCATGCCGTAGACTCTTCTTAACTGTTCAACTTCTAAGCGTCACAGTTCTATTGTGTTATTCTTTCCTCATTTTGTTCTTATAGTTTTTTTTGCTGCAGTCTTTGTTTCCTTTCAGACCATGCTGTTTTCACTCACAGGTTTCATTAAAATATATCTGCAAAGGGTATGTTAAGAGACTGTTCATATCTACAGTAACTGATTATAACTTGTAGTAATTCTTAAAGGTGAATTCTGATTTATCCTCTATGTGAAATGCATCTCCTTCAATGCTGAGCACTTATTTGGTACAGTTCAAGATTTGAATACTCTGTTGCGAGGTTTCTTTTAATGGAAAATGGAGAAGACATAACTAATACCGACATATTACCAATTACTTATCAGTGTTAATAACTGACATTTCATTGTCAAATTTGTTTGGGGTAAAGATGGCTATTGCAAATGACAGATTAAATACACGGGAGTGTTTATATTATATTAAGTTGTTTCAGAATTTCAGTGTCATTATAAACTACACAGATAATGTGATATATGTATACATATATATATATATATATTTACATGTTGATGCATAAAGGAGAGTGCCACTCTTGTTTTCCCCTTTTCCTATACTATTGATCTGTTTCAGAACTAGTGGTACCACCTTCATTGTTGTTACTTTATCCACTAAGATTATCCGCTAAGATACAATATTAAGCATCACCTAGAAATAAATATGGTAATCATTGTGTAGACTAACCAGGAGACCAGCAGAGGATAAAGAGAGTGATCTTTGATTTTAACAAATCACTTGAAAGCAACGTGAATTTATTTTAGCATGTATTGTGTGGGTGTGCAGACACACATACCGAAGAAACACCACAATTCAGAGTATTTAAAGGCAGGATATTCTAATTCCTCTGTTTCATCTGAGATCACTGTATATCTAGATAACGAGTAACAAAAATATCAATCCTGTTTTGGTGAGCTGGTTTATCAAGACTTTGGCATGGCTTTAGCTGTGAACATCCAACAGTCAGGTTTATCTTCCAGGTAGTTAGTGTTATTTCTAATGCAGGTGTTATTTTTACATTTAACTTCAAATTCATAGTTTCTTTGTGTTTATCTTACACAGGTTCTAGCTTCTAGTAACATGCTAATACTCTATTGTAACTACAGTGCTTAATTTAGGGTTTCATCAGTGCTTAACACTTACATGTACTTTTCAGCTCTGCCTGTTAAAAGACATAGAAGGGCAAGTCTAAATGATTAGTCATTTGTCAGCAGGAGTCTAATGTTAGAAATAACTTCTTTCCTGATTTGGCCTTCTGCTTGTGATCTCAGACCTGCAACTATTTCTGCTGATACTTGATATTAAAACTCTTTGGCATAAACACTTTTGACCCATCTTAGTCCTACATACAACAGCAGCTGTGCCAAAGATTGATTATATTGACTTTTATGATATTTTTCGGTATCTCTAATGAAGTTAAATATTTGTGCTACTACAGTGAAGAGAGATTTCCTGTACATAGTCCTAAAGACAGCTTTGCTTCCTTTTCCTCTGCACTTTTTAAGCATTTTTAAGCCCAAATATTCCCTTCCAAAGGAATCGTCTGCAGAAGGGTCAGTGAACTCAGAACATGAAGTGATGTTTTAACTTCTATATTTTTTCACAAATCACCTCAGAGAGGAAAAAATGTATTTTCAATATGAATGTTGGTATATGGGAATTGCAAAATATTTCCTAGCATTTTGTGTAAGTCCTTGCAGCTGTATGTGCAGAGGAGAACTGATGATTTTTGTTGCTTTCTCCAGTCTGTTTAATGCAAAACTGAATGAGAAGTCTGCTTTCTGTTGACCTTTTCTCTCTCTTCTGCTAAACCAAACAAATGTTAAAGAATTGGAAATGAACATAGAGTAGCCTCCAGATCATGTCAGACATAATTATAATAGCAAAGAGGCAAGTAACTGGTGCAGGAGGGAAAGTGTATGATCCAAGTTCTCCCCTTCTTCATGGCTGATTTTTGTTATGGAATGAGAAAGGCTGTTTGTTTTCTTTAAAAGATCTGAATCTGTGGATAGTCTGAGCATGTGACTCTTATGAGTCTAATGTGACTCATAAGGGAAAGCACGAAATGTAAATTAGCTTTTATTCTTTATATGGTGAAAGTAGAATTCAGTATAGGTTTATAAAAAAACTTCTGAGGCTCCAAGTTTCTCATCCAAAATTTTGTCCCTAGTAGGTTTCTCTGTAAAGCTGTACTTGTAGAGATGGGCTTCAAACCACCTACATGTTTTAATAAAGCTATCCTAACAGAAAATGCGATAGTAGTTAATGCTGTAGTTAATCCTTCTTGGTGAGTATGCCTCCAGCAAAATGCTCAGCACTCGTCTTTCCTGTGAAGTCAACTCTTCCGCAGATACTTGAATTCTCATAGCAATTGTCATTTTCTTGAATTACAGTGACATCTGGTGGTATTTTAAACAATTTTTGTACAGCTTTTTTGTCATTTATGGTACCTTCTTTCTGCTTTTAGAAAATTAATGGCACTACTATTTTATTTACAGTACAGCAGGTTTGGCTGCTGCGCAAGGTGATTTTTCTCCTAGATGCTCTTCTATTGCTGCTTATTCCAGGTATGAATGCAGACACTCCCCGACACTTCAGTGGGATACGTATGTGGTGAGATTCACGCTAAACTTTATCACCTGTATTTCTAATTAATTTCAGCACTGTAAGCAGAGTCCTGCTTTGGAAGGTATTAATCCAAGGGTTGGATTTAATTTAAACGTGGAGGCAGTTGCCGTGAATGTCAATACAGGCCCTTTACCAGTAACAGCATCACTCTCTCTTCTACCCGCTTGTGCACTTGATGGAAAATGTTTTTGAATTAAACAGCTTTGAATAACGTACATTAGTTGATCAATTCATGTCCAGTAACTCTTGTCTACACTAAGCACTGAAGTGAGCATGTCTGAAATACTGGGTATCAGTAAATACAGGTGGCAGTACAAAACAAGTAGAACATCCGAGGTCCTACGCAACTACTGGCACCTGGGAAGTCCTTCGACAACGCGGGCCGTGAGGAGGGTATATCGGACACCAGTAAAATCACCCGACCGGCCTCTCCTGTGCCTTGGCGGGGCGGG